ATTTTGAGCTTAGATTTTCTAATGCTATTTTCAAAAGTCTTGAAATGCACTTATTTGGAAACCACATAACTAATACTACTTATAAATACAATTCGTATGTTTTATTATATTCGAAAATTAATTACGATAGCAGTTGGTACAAAAATAAATAGAAAAGAAAAAACAAGTTGTATAGATGTGTTCTGTTTGCAACATTAAAGAGAAATTCTTTTACATGCTTGATTGTCAATGATCGGTACAATATGACTTTTGATGACTTCCCATAAGTTAGTTTTTTCAGTTCCACTTTAGTCGTATATTTTTCTCTTCGACTTTTTTTCATCACAATGCCATCTATTAGAGGACACACTTGATATAACGAGAATAAATACTTTGGATGAGTCCATTTGATTGAACAATTGCTTTTCGTTATTTTGTGCACCGATGATTCTGTGTGCCAATAAGGTCGAATAATTTTTGTTTGCATTTAAGTCCTGCAATCTTATATCCTTCAAAATAAAAAATTTAGTTTTGTTGACAAAAATTATTTGGCTCTGGTAAAATAGGTCCAGTACACTTTCGACTGTAAAAGTGCCAAAATGTGATCTTCTTAACGAAATTGAGCAGGAATTCAGTGAGAATTTTGTCATTTCCCGAGAACTCAGTCAAATGGCGGAAAACGTCGACGAAGAAACTGCACCCGAAGTTTGAGGTAAAAAGCAATGGACTTGAAAGATGATCAAAATTGTCACACACAATTTTTATTAAGAATCGCTGGAAAGTAGACCTTTTGTCGCCTTCTTCAGCAGAAGATACTGCCGTAGATGGTGATATAATACAACATTGGATTTTCTTCTAAATCCAGTTCTCCAAATTTCTGAAGAATAGTCGAGAATCACTCATCAGCACCAGCTCCTTTAAACTTAGAGACGGGGCTTAACACTTGTTTCTGAATTTATTTTTTCTCTTTCATTTGCATTTAAAGAATTAGATATTAAATAATCGAAGTATGAACGAAGTTGTTTCTTAAATTGTTGTCAATCAGTTTTAAAAGAAGAGAGATTTTCATCATACCAGTCACGAAGAAATTCACCCAGATAATCATAAGACAATGAAGTCCACAATCTCTATTTATATTTTAATGTTTGAAATATTGACTTAACGTTCTTCATCCACGTAAATAGCGAATTCATGTCGTCATGAACAAGAATTTTAATATTCTTCAATTCTTCTTCTTTTTTGAAATTGTCAATATACTCATTTCTATTTGCTATTGTTGTTAAATTATTTGAAGATTCACTTAAAGAATCATCTGGAGCAGCCATAGCCGATGAAGAGGATGCCGGCGATAACAATTTATTCGTTGTTGTTTTTCGTGTGGTTTTAGCAAGAGAAAAGTCAAAAAAGAATTTGTAGACGTTAAATCACGATTTGATCGTAATAAACGACTCATATGTCATGGTAAAACAAGTTCAGTATTAAAACAAATCAATTTTCATGATAAAAAAATAATTAATTTAAAAAATATCCAATAAAGTGCAACAATTATTCATAATTAAAATTAATTACTATTTAAGTCAATACACACACTCGAAATAATTATGCCTGATTAGCATGCAGTCTTAGCATGCTAGTCTTAGCCATGATAAGAAAAACGGTTAACATACCTAACTTGTGTAATTCGAATATGTAAACGCGTATGTAAATAAATATGTAATTAAATGATTTGATGAACAAACAAATACGAAAATTCCCTCCAGTGTTAGTAGCCTTGCTCTGCTAATATAAACTGCCCGTGTACTAAAGCCAAGGTCTAACGAATAGTACGATTATGTGTGACTAAATAGTTTTATATAATCCAAATTAAAACGAAATGTATAAAAGACTACTACAACACATATTCATATAAACACATGCTCGGAGCACGTGTTTATCGGAGCAGCACATCTGCCCATTCGGATCTGAACAATGACAATGCGACGTGTCAACTATGACGAAAAAGATCCGGCTGATTAGTAAGCAGGTACATAATGAATCGTATTGCTAGTTGCCTGACAAATTTTAGTTTTTTTTCGGCAATAAATCTATCATCATAAAACACAAAACAGAAACGATAGAGAACTGCGAACGATGCAGAAAACTTATGTTCGTCTATCTCACTGAAAGCAACATTTATTGTTAGAGACTCTAACAATAACAATAACTCTAACTTAGAGTTATCACCGACTTAGTGATATTGATCATTGAATCATTTTTTAAGGTGAAGAATTTAAGAATAGATAATAAGACAAACACCACCTTATACATAATGAAGTTACAATTTCACTTGAGACTAGTTTCGTCTTTATTCAAAAGACATCATCAGCCATATGATGGCAAAAACATTTATCATTTCCTTTTAAGCATAAAAGAAAAAGAAGAAACACATGTTTAGAACACAAAAGAAAAATAATAAAAATATAAACTAGTCCAATATCTGTCCTACATTACCCGATGTGTCATCAGAAAACATTGAGAATAAACGTTTTTTGAGAATAAATATCCTAATTTTCTTTCTCCTGTGTATATCCGTTAGTAAACTTTTTTTTTCTCTCTTTTTCTTGCATGAGGTTCAAACGCAAGAATTTCACTGTTCCAGTTTGTTCTATGGCCAGTAACTAAACTATGATTGGCAATCCTTGAGTATCCAGTACCTTGAAAAGCATCTTTATGTTCTTGTTTTCGCTTTTCACCTCTTGCTGTTTGTCCAATATAACTGTTTGTGCAGTCAGAACAGTCATATTTATACACTACTCTTTTCTCATTTATCGTATTGCGAAATGTTTTCCCAGATACAAATGACAAAGTATGTCCTGCCTTGAAATCAAAGGTTACCACTTTCATTGGATGTGAAATCGATTTTCGACGATCTCGCTTGTGCCCACCAAGGTATCATTTATTGTACTTAGTTGTTGTGTGAAACAAACGTGTAATTAAAATCCAGCGTGGCAGAATCAGTATTTCAGTACTTTACTGCTACTAAAATTCTAAGGAAACATGTTTATCAAGTTTTTTGGCACTGGGCAATTGCCCCCGTTCCGAATAATCACCGGGCAATGGGATTCATACCACTAGGCAATTCCACCGTCGTCCCTCCCCTGCCTACGCCATTGCCGTGCTCCACTCAACACAATAACAAGAAACTAACGAAATGCATGCATATACATACTACTGCAATACAAGGGAGAAAAACGAAAGAAATGAGGGTCTAAAATTTTATCTAATTTAACTACCCAGGTGAAAACGTCCGGTCGGATCCCGAAGGATCTGTTTCATTCCGACTATTTCCGGCTGTCTGAAGTGTGATCTGATCCGGAGAGAGGATTCCGTTCAATTTCTGTTCCTTCCGTTATAATCCAATGTCTAGCTCTTTCTTTTCTCTCTTTTCTTTCCTTTTGCTGCTCTGTACGGTGAATAAACTTACCAATTTATTTTTCGGTGTTTTTAGTATAAATACGACAATGTAGAACGTGACACATGAGATCTTTTTCGGCAAGTTTTCGCATTAAACAGTGTGAGTCTGACTCACACTCACTGAGTCATCAAACCTCATTGCTGTTCGAAGATGTGGCCTCAGTCAGTCACACATGCTTTCTGATGCTATATCTGATGGTTCGATCCTTTCCACACAATTTCCGATCGGAATCCAGGCAACAGGATTCCGATGTAATCCGCCACAGATCAGGACCGATTTTGTCGGAATCCGATGCCTTCTGGTGTCTTCTCATGGCGGATCATGATGCAGGAATGAACGACCTGGGTATATATAGGTAAAAGAAAGTCTAACTTAACTAAATAGGCAAAATAAATAAATAAAGAGAATGATCGATGACCGCACTGTAAAAGAGCACTGTGTGATTAATCTTGTATGATTTTCTGTTGCTTTTCCACTGCAGAAAAGAAAATCAAACGTGATGCGAGAACGAAGGAAGTCATGGCTACATTTTCATTAAAAAATTAATGAATTATTCCTCTCTTTTGAATCACGAGTTATTAGCATTTTACGATTCATCGCAAAAAAATGTGCCATCTACGAGGAGCACATTTTATGAAGGAGCCATCTAATGACATGGTTGAAAAGCTTCTGAAAGTAACTTTAAGATCGCTAGGTTTTCTAGAAAACCAGGTTTTTCAGAAATCTCTATCTCAACATTAGTTCACTGTATGTCTCATAATATGCCTATAATACTGATTAACCAGAAGTAGGTATGCATTGTATGATTTTCTGTTTCTTTTCCACTGCAGAAAAGAAAATCAAACGTGATGCGAGATCGTCTTGTTCATTTTCTCCTCTTGGTTGCTGAAATTTATTGACTATCAACAGGAAAACAGCAGTTGCTATTCTAACAACAGATCAACTGTGGGTAATGCGACTTCAAAGATTCGGCTGCGCAAAAAGTGGTAAGCATAACTAATACTGAAGTGAAAAGCTATGTTCGATTTTATTTTCGTCCGCTAACCCCTACACAATACACAAACGAAAATCTAGGCAGCACGAATGGAACTGAGCGGTTTGAAAACGATTCAGTCTGTCCAGTTCCGATCTTTATCAAAATTCCATTAAAAAACAATTTTAAACAAGCTGACATTGAGTGGAAGGTTAGTCTAGGTAATATGGCGAGAAAATCAATAAAATACGGCAATACGCTAGGTATAATTAATCAGTTTGACTTCAACAGCGTCTATTGTGAGGAACTTAGCGATAGACAATTTGTTAGTTCTCAACAAGAATTTTTGATTAAGTCACAGTTACCGTTGAATGTAATCGACGATATCGAAGTCATATGTCAAAATGTTGCTGCTGCTCAGTTTTTCTCATATATGTTAGAAGATAATAATCCGTTTAAAGACAAAATTAAAGTAGATGAAATGGTGTATCATGGCCGAAAACCAAAATTTTTGATTATTGAAAATCCTAAATCATTAAAAATATCAATTCAGCGAGAAAAAAAAGATGGCAAGATAATTCTAAAGTATTTTAATAAAAACGATGCTGATAATGTTAAGAGCGAAGTAGCCATATTAGTTCCAGAAACAATGACAGTATCTATTGATATAAAGGCTGATAGCGACGAACCACAAACATCCCAAATTCACATTACCACATGTGCGTCAGTTGCTAGAAGATTACCTAGATCATATTACTGCCATGAATCCAGCCTATATTCTCGACGTACTGAAAGAACATCCAGTGTTACAGTATTTGTATGAACAAGCAGGTAAAAATGGACACACTCTTACAGTAATGAAACTGTTCAAACAAATACTGTGACATCCAGAGCAACATTATCTCTAAAAGTTTTTATATTTTGCTGGCTCTTCATGCTGTAGGTTTGCCAGGAGTAAAATTAGCAAATAAAGAACAAGGTCATAAACGTTTCACATTAAAAATCGTTGCTGAAGTTTGCGATATCATTCCATTATCGAACTCAGAACTTCAGCGAATAAAAAAATTCAGTGATTCAGGTAAGTTGAGATGTCTTTTCCGTTTTATTCGGAGTGCTCGGCATAAACTATTTATTTAGATCACATTCATAACTTAGTTTACGCATACAGTAGTCCTTCAGCTACCAATTTAACGTCGATAATATAAACATTGTGGGGCGACTATAGTCAACAGTTTAATCTCTTATAATAAGAATCGTTGAAGACATTACGCGAATACTACATTATTAAGAAATGTGGAACATCCTCAAAGACTATATATATTAAAAAAACTCTCTTTTCCCTATCTTTCTCTAGCGATATTGGCTCGAGTTGAAAGAGATCGCAACAAAAATAGAGGAAAAAAGATGATCGAAAACCTGTGTTTTCATGCGATTTAGAGGTTAGACAAGCTGTAAATGAGTACAGGTGGGTTTGCCTCGATACAGCGATGATCCGCCTTCTTATTCTTATGATACGCCTTCTTACACCGTGTTCATGTGAGGGCTATAGCAAGACTCATAGATACGGTGCTGTGTCTACAAAACACATAATTCAGTAACATTTACGCAGTCGAAACAACAGTTTATTAAGTAAAGTAGGCAAAATGATAAGTACTGGCTTAAAAGGGGGGGGGGGAGACGCGCCTCTTTAAGCATAAAAAGTA